CAGGGACGAAAGTCCCTGCCGGGCTCCCCCCTCCGTGCCCCGGCCCCCCCAAGGCTAACTTCAGGGCTGAGAGGAGGGATGGGACACTGCGGATGGAAAGGGGTGGGGGGAACGCCGACACACGGTGCCGCCTGGGCAGGCCTGCACCAGAGCCACAGGCCGCGTTACCAGGGCAACGCAGCCAAGCTGGAGGGTCCAGGCCCCGTCCCCTTAGGCCGAAGCACACCCCACCCCCCAAAAAAAAAACCAAATTAAAACCCCCTTTCTTCCTTTCCCCTCACACCCACCACGCTGGTATCTTGCAGCTCCGGGCCGTGCCAGGCGTTGGTACGGTTCATGCTTAAGTAAAAGAAACTAAAGGCCAGCCCAGCCCTGGAAATAAGGACTCTGCTTCACGGCTTAGAGCTGTCCGCGAAGGATAAAGGATACCCCTGGTTAATCAAAATCACGCCGGCATCGTGTAGCCCCTCTACCACGTCTTTGAAACCCTCTCAGCATCGTCTGGATCATAGAAAAATAACTATAGCAAGACTCGCTCCAGGGACATCTGGATCAATAGACAAGCAACAAGAATGTTGCAAAAATATAGTCGCTTTGCAAAGTCTTTGCTACGATTAGTAATCGGTAGTGTGGGTGTTAGTGATTAGTCAAATTATGTTGTACCTGAACATTTGAAGGGTATAAGGACCCTGCGTAAAACCACATTCAGGTGCCCCAATTTGGCTGGGAGACTTCACGTATGCAAGTAACTATTTACCCTTGTAGTTCTATACTTTGCGTCCTGGCCTCTCTCCTCAGTCGACACGGGCCAGCTGCGAATTTTCCACAGCATGTACCTGAGGAGCATTGCCCGCGCCCCTTACCTGCTCTGTGCCGGGATCCGGCGGCACCCGCAGGGGTTAATCCGGCGGAGGCGATCTGGATGGTGCCATTATAAAGCCGTGATCTTTGACGCGAGCGGAGTGCTCCTCCCGTCCCCTTACAAGACAGCCGCGGGTGTGTATTCTCATTTCTCATTTGCTCCTGTTGTTTCTATGCATGGAGGGAAAATAAATTTCAGGTGTCCCTGTCAGCCGCCCCTGGTTGTGGTAAGATATTCAAGAACTTGCGATGACGGCAATGGTACCTATTGTGCCATCAGAAGTACTAGAACTGACAGCAACCGGCAACCGCATTGACAGCTCCAGATCAGGGCCTGAACCCATCTGGTAATGAAACTGTCCTGTAATGACACCGGCTGATACCACCCAACGTTGGTACAGTCCTTCAGGACAGCTTAAGAACTCATTGTTTTCACCCCAAGGGTACCACACCGAAAATAGAGGTGAGGTGCTTCAGTTGGGGGAATGCTCAAACTTCTTCTCGCTGTGTCTGGGTAAATTACCCCAGTCCAGCACGTCAGTTCTCACGAGTGCTGGTCGATGTATCAGACTTTGGAGGGGTTTCAAGCTAATTTCCCTGTTCTAATGATGCCGTATGTGCTCTCTTCTGGCTTTCTTACTTTCCTCTATGTAGACTGGGAGGCCCAGAATTGTATTCCAGCCGGCACCATCCAGCAAGCTATACTCTCTGGAGGGGAAAACAGTCCCTCTCTGAAGTACACAAGAGGAGAGCTGACGACTGTGGAGTTTTTGCAGGAATTGGGACAGCAGTGCTTTGAGATCGTAAGCCAACTCCCCCCTCCTCCCTTTTTGCTTCCTGTCTGCAGGGAAATGGGATCCTGCGATGTGGTGGTTCAGTGAGGAAAGAGGAGCCTTTAAAAGAAATCCTTTGATGGAAGGGTCTGGATTTACCATCTAGGAAGCATTGCTGTCTGATCAGGGCAGACTTACCACCGCCATCATCATTCTGGTACCCAGGCAGGACGGTCAGCTGAATTTGCCTTCGCTTCCACCTGCTTCTTCCTGCATATTTCATAACTTTTTTTATTTCAAGACGCCTCTAGGATCAGCCAAGATGAGAAGTCAGAGAGTCAGAGATCAGCTAAAAGGCTTTTGTTGCTAGTTTGTACGTGGGCACACTCAATGGATGGAGGCCATGGTCTCCAGCAAGGGTTCTTAAGATCAGTAGAAGCCCCTCCGCCACAGCTCCAGGAACACAGTGCAAGAATCCTCTCTTGAATAAAGTCTTTTTGAAACAGCTCAGTCTAAAATGCAGATTCCTTTCCTGCCTGCTGAATGGTAAAGCAATATTTATCTCCAACCTGCCTTGATTCCATGGCAGGCACAGTCCTAGTGCATTTCTTTTTCCCCAAATCAGCCCTTTATCTCTGCTGCTGCATCTGTAGAACTAGTAATGTGAGAACGCTTGTTTATTTGGTCTGAGCAATTTAGCTGGGAGATTCACTGAGTGCCTTCTGCTGCCAAAGGAAGTAGGACAGCAAGATAAGATGATCAGGCAACCTACCTCTTATTTTCCTCCCTGCTTAAAAACCATTTATGGCTAATTATTATTATTGGGGGGGGGGGGGGGGGGGGT